GGCACAGGACGGAGCGCTCCGAAACGTCGACGAAAACTTGCCGCTCGCGAGTGAGATTCCGTCTGGAATTGGAAAGAAATCCCGGCGCAGGATGCGTCGAAGTGATCAGGCTTAATGGGACACTTCCACATCTTTTCGGAACTCTTTCCCAAGCTGTGATTTTTGTGCGTAAGACGTTAAGTGAAAATTCACAACTTTGCGCAGATCATTTCGAACCCTGTTGAATGAATCTTATTTATAGAGCCGCTAGGTATCACACAAATGCAGATGGAAGCACGCACTGTTGACTCATGAATGTTGAAAATCGGGTGAAGCTCGATTGCGCGAGATATACAAGTGTTTGCTGAGTCATGAGCGCGTATGTCACTAGCCGAGCTTCCTCGTGTAGCATCATTTTCTTTTGGTTGACTAACGGAACAACACTCCTTCGCCAACGTTGGGCGGTTTAACGGCTTTGGTTTCCAATCACCGTCCCTTAATTGAAGTATCTCTCCCATTTATCACGCCTCTAAGCGATGTGACTATTTATGCTACTTTTCAGATGACAAGTTCCCTGTGAGCTCAGTCGCATCAAATATGTATGTATGATGTTAAAATTGCCATTTCGCCAATAATGGCTTGGTCAGAAAGGCCGGTGATGGTAATTAAAGAATAAAAATAAAAATAAAATAGGGAGATGCATTGTGTGTTCAATGTTCGACAGAGACTTGCGCAAGACATCCTATCCTGTTCCAAGTGAAAGTAAGATGTGACCATTCCACATCAGCTTACCCTTCCATTACATAAGTGTTTATTTGGACAGTTCAATCCCTTCTGGCTGTTCTGTGCCTCCGTTCAGTAAGCCCCTGTCGCACCACGCCCCCCGCCGTCCTACTTCTGAGTTCTGACCCGCGGGGTCAGTAAACAACAATGGCCGCGGGTCTTACCGGCCGTCCGGGCGGCTCGCGGCGGGCGAAAAACGGCCCCGGCCGCGGATCTAGTTCAGATTGCTTTAACGCCCGGCTGCCGCTGTCGGCTCGTGTTGACGCCGGAAACAGGCGACACTGTCGGCAAACGAGCGGCGGCCACCGCAGCTCGCCGAGAGCGCCCCCGAGCGGGGCCGGGGGTCGCTCCACGGCGTGACCCGCCCGGAGGCTCCGTTCCCAATCGAACCGGCTGTTTACCGTGTCGGCCAAGTTGCCAGGGCCGGAGCTGGGTCTGATTATTGGTTCACAGGGCGGCCATCCGGCGCGTTTTCGGCTGTGATGAACGTCTCCGGACATTCAGTGGTCGGTGAATGGCGCCGGCGCTGTCGATTGTGTCGGTTTATAGAACAGTGTGCGAAGGTGGTAACACGCGAAACGGGCTCAGGTGCGGCTTGGCCGTTTGTCATGTGCGCGGTGCTGTTATTTATATCGATTGGTCTAAGTCACTGAACAGGCGTGGGAAGCTGAATCGTCGGTAACTTCAAGTGGCCACACATCACATCCAATGTGTTACGTGACGTGCAGGCACATCCCACACTTCATGTAGGAAAATCCACCTTAACACACACTGTTTTCGACTTCGTTGCCGAGTACGTTTCCACTTCGGTGCGTGCTTTTTGCGACAGAGCACTGCGGTGATAACACGCCGGCCATTTTCGCCAGTTAGCCAAATTCGGGCATATTGTGTGCTGGGATGGACTAACGGTGCAGAATAATTCAAAAGTCCACAGTTGCCAACATGAATCGCCGCTCCTCTGAGCCATCGAGTTTTAACTGTCACCGTAGCGCCGTCAAATCCTATATAAATTGTTTGCAAAGCAGCCGAAAGGTCAAGGTTCAGCTAAACGGATGAACCTAAGATGTGTACACAACTCGCAATTTCGTCAAAGCTTGTCTATATGGTTTACACAAGGAACAGAATCTTCCTTATGCTGCATGACACGGAACAAAAGCAAACACTAAAATAATCATTAAGAGGTCTAATGACAGGGCTTGTTAGAATCTGCGCAAAACCACCAAGAATAGACAGTCCTTCTTCGACATCGTCCGGTATCAGGGGCGACGGAATGTCAGAGCGTGAAATGTCAAACACAAATGTCATTGGTATTGTCAGATGTCACGCAAATATAGGAACCGAGCAAACCTTATCACGTTAGCGGATGCACGAACATGCGACACACTTTGTGCTTATAATTATTTTGAAATGCTCTCGACTAACGGATAACATCGCACTAACGGATGACATGCCCGGAGGCTGGCAGCCTGAAAGGCTTGCATGGTTATTGGTTAGAATAATTGGAAGATAGTGAACGGGATATTTTGAGGTAGTTGATGGATCCAAAATGATGAGTGGCAGTTCACCGTAATAAATGACAAAAGTAATAAAACACCAACGCGTGACAGCTCGATGTGCTTGAAAATCCCTCGGTAGGAACCAGTTATCATTTGTGTTGTGACAATGCCCCGTGCCACTGACCTGATAGTTGAAAGCCTCTTGCTTGCAGCTAGGCTCCGTTGCGAGACGAGCCGACAGCAGTCAGCCGTTTGACCGACCTCGTAGTCGCCTCAGATCAAACTGGGAGTCGAGCGACCACCTCTAACATTGCGTGTCACTTTTTACGTTCCCTCCACTGCCCTGCATTCCGCGCTGTCACTAACCCATTGACAGATCAGCACTAACCGCGCCCCGCTACTCTGGATCCAGTGAGAGCCGTCGCAAGGCCGTCCGTCCACCGCCCCGGGCAGGGAAAACACTGACCGGCGGCCGGCGGGTCAGTCTAACCCGCAGGGGCCAGCGGACAGAGGAAGGGCCGGCGGGTCAGTCTAGCTGTCAGGGGCCGGATCGGGACGGCCGCTGATTGGCGAATGCGGCTGCAGTGAAGGCCGCACTGGAACGCACTGCAGCGTGAGCGGAAAACTGAGAAGTGAGAACAGTGCAAGTGGGTGGTAGGAATTGTTACAGAATTCAACTATTGAAACCCAGCACCCATAATGTTTCATCTATACGCCCGTTGATTCTTTACGTACCTAAACGTCAAGAGGAATTGGATGTAATACTTGAGTTGCACGTCAAATTCCTTTCTGTTAAGCAAAATTATCTCTTGGACTTCTCGTGAAGTACTTTTTTGACAGCATTCATTGGCCGTAGCGGTAGAATCGCGACACTCACCAGTCGGCTCCATCCGGCCATTTAAAGAGACGAGGGCAGCATATGAGCCAGCTCATTGGTTTGGTTCATCGAACAACAGTTACCATGAATTTCTGGAAGTTTTACGACCGGCTCCCATGCCATTAACTGCGCGGTTTGCATAGAAACGAGGCCATAATAGCTGGGGGCATTATCGGAGTGTTTCGCCCCGATCGGGGCGATTAGTGACAAAGATTAAACGCATCAATCACTAATGACGAATTACGCTCAAAAGTCCGTCTCTTTGTTCGGTTTCAGGTCATTGGCTCCAAATATTAGCTATGTGATATAGTGTTTATGTTGCCCGTTTGACTACCTATAAAAAGGTATCAAAAAGGGCAAAGCAGAATCGGAATCAAAGGCTGCTAACGGGACATAGCGTTCATTGTGACTGGTAAATACGCCACAGTTATGCAACATTAATCCTTATTCCATCCGCACCAAAATTTGAGAAGAAAAGATCACACGAAATGAAAGGATGGAACTCCAAGTGACTTCTTGAAGTTTCTAATAGGGTTGAAAATAGCGATTAAAAGTGCATTATGCCAAGCAACATATAAAAGTTTTCAAATAATTTTACAATGTAAAATGGGGTACAATTGAGAAACGACAAAGATAAAAGCTACGACATACTGTAAAGGTCAGCTAGGACCCTCAACATGATGAAATATCGTATGCAAATTGAGCACTAACGCATTCATATCGGCCCCAATCGACGCGCATTAATCAATGCGACCCACGCTGCTAATGTGGTTTGGGGTGTATCATGGTACAATGCATTGTCATCCGATGTGCATCAATTACATTATCATTTTGGTTTTTAATCAATTTCGCTGCAATTTGTAGTTTTCATTTCGCTCTTAGTTACGTAACTCTCACACCAGACGAAGTTAGCGACCCCATGCACTCTCACCACTACCAATAGCTACAACTGACACGCACCTACGGGTACACATCACCAACCACTTCAGTATAATGTTGAACGTTTATCCTACTCGTAGTTATCATTCAGCCCAATCGTGGATCACACCACATCCAGCCCCAGTCACTCCATTGCTCCTCCAATCACCGCAGCTCGACGCCTCCCAACCCGTCTTGCGCCCCGCTCTCCGGTCGCAGAGGCGCCGGTGACCCGCCTCTCCCTCCCACGCCTGGCCGTGCTGAGTGTCGCATCAGCACTCGGAGTGACCGATTGGCCAGCCGGCTGTTGGCGTCATCTGGAGCCCCCCCCCCTCTCCCCCCCCGGATGACGCACGGTGGACCCCGGTCGTCACTCTCACCAGTCGGAGGGTTTATGGGGTCGGAAGGTCGCGGGCTTTTTCGCCACTTTGGAGTGGATGATCTGTCCGAAAGTGTGACGAGAAGGTAGTCAGCCTTCCCCGACGATTGGAGGACATTTGTGACCGGTGTCTAACGGGTCGGGCGGACTGAAAGGTGTTTGACGGTAGCGCTGTTGGTAGCAATAAAAGGATAATTTCCCGTGTGCGCTGTTCTGAAGCGCCACTAACCACTAACCAGAGGTCGTTTTTTTTTCTGTGCGTCAGCACTCATACCCGATATATAGTCAAAGCGAGCAGAGAGGGCACGGTTTCGTTGAATGATACCGACCATGAAAGGCGTGGGATGCTCTCCGGCAGCGCACCTCTCTTCTTGCGGTAAAACCTCAAGAAACGAAGTAGCGAGTGAATACGATGCTCCCCATAGAGTGCACCGGATGTTAGAAAACGTCCAATGGGTTGAAAGGCATGTCTAGAGAGAGGGATGTATGGATGAGTCAATAAAATAATTCGTTTATTATTGTCAGTTTAGAAGTTCTTTGTAGGCCGTCAGTATGTATGTAGGTACATACTACACGGAAAGACACAGTGTATCACGACTCTGAGAATACCTTGCAACTGCGTATTTTATCAAAAGGTTTTATTTCATTCAAAATCATAACAAGCGCATGCGTCCTGAACGCATTCAACTTGACTGAAAGTCACTTCAATGGGCTGGGAGCGACGCATGTACCATACACCAGTCATTCTAGCGCAAAATACCATTTTATTGATACAACTCACGAGAAAATGATAATAATAACCCGTTTCATGAGAAGACAAATAACGACAGACCTAACAGCGAGTCAAGATCAAAGTCACAGCCATCTAAAAGGAATGTTACACATTGGAACAAGTCCAATACCTCGATATCCAGGCTTACGAGGTACGACGCCACAAGACATTCCGTCAATAGTCCAAACAGCCATCCTGTCCAAACTTCAACCCACACACTTGTTTCACAACATAAAATCGTTCAAATTACCATTCAACACATGTTCACTATCATCAGCAGGTGTCTAACCGACCCCGCGCTTACCCGCTCGTGCCGATGGTCACCTCATCAGCGACAGGAGGCAGCGACGGCGGCGGCGGCGACTGGCGGTGCGCGGCGGGCGACTCCTTCGTCTGGTGCGTCTTGGTCCGGTGAATAAGCAGGGAGCGAGCCGTGAGGAAGCTCAGACCGCACTCGGGGCACTCGGTCCGACCTGGGGAGACGGAGAGAAGTGGTGATTACACTGGTTGTGATATGTATTGTCTATGTAGGGTGCAACGGGTGCTCAGAGCAACGTTAATCAAGCCATCCGAGAGCAAGAGTCCGAATGAAAAAGGTAAACAAAACAAAACCATGCCTTTCGGAGTGCATGCAGCACATAGCCTGATAGTAGGGAAATCCCGGACAGTCGATAGTCTGAGAAAGAAACAAACCCCACGATACACAATAGCTATTAAGTCATCACAAATGACTGTCAGGTGATCCATAATCGAGATACAGCTATCTTTGCTTCACATTCCCACCCTATTCGCCGACCTGTGGCTTCTTATACTCCCGGGCCCGCACAACAGGACGAATGAATTACGGGCGCTTGGCGCGCAGGCTGCCAGTTTCCTAATGCGCTCATAACTTATCCCTCAGAAAACCAGACTAGCCGTCCACACGTACTCAAACAAAACCAGTAAAAACAGCAACAGAGATAATCAGCGAGGAGGTTCCACCGACACGCTGCACATTTCTATCCCGGTGGTATGGAAGATGCCTATAGTTGGATAACACCCGCTGGGCTTCACGATTTAGGATGGCCATTGATCCGATCATAGGTCAGAGTTTGATGCCCCGCGGGCGACCTGTGCCCGAATCTACATCAGAGGCCGACTGATTGGAGCGCCGTTGGACAAATTCCGCCGTCTGCCGGCGCAATCAGGGCCGCTTTGAGAGCCGTGTGCCCCTGTGCGGCTTCTGAGGCGGTTCGGCGCACATGAATGGACGGCGCCGGTCGCCTAACGTCGCGGCGGTCACGGTTAACTGATCACAGCCGGCCACACCGCAAATGGCCGAGCACAGAGCGGCCCGGCGCCGGTAATTCAGACCGCAGAGTGATCGATTTTCTAAAGCTAATTTCTCTATTAAAATTGCTCAGCAGAAGGTGCTATTGATGTTTCAAAGGGCAAATTTCCTACATATTTGGCCTTCGAAGAATAGTTTACGTTACCCATTCGCATTTCCATAATATTAATTGATTTGTTTTCTTGCCAGACATTACGTGTAGGACGGCCGTACTACGGTTGACTTACAAACCGCCGACTTGCCAGCTTCTACTCACATGCCTTACTCTGCGGGCTAGTGTATACCCGACCGTAATCCGTCGGGCTGACCGGCGCTCGGCTGCCGGTCGCCGGCTGACAGCCTGCCGACAAGCCGCCGACAAACAGGACAGCCATTTCACTTCCCATCGCTCCTCTCGGCCGCAATAATGCCACACGTCGGCGGCGCTCTGCAGCCTTTTGTCACGCGCCCGGCGCCGGCAGCGAAGAAAAAATACCGCAGCAGCCGAGGCAGCGTACATTTGCATAGGCATCTGGCGGCCTGGCCAGCTCCATCGGGGAGAGCGGGACGGAGAGAAGCGGGAAGGAGGAAGGATGGGTCACCGGGGCCCGCCCCGCGCGCGGCCCTCACCGCCGGGTGACGGCGGAAATAATACGGCGACGCGACAAGGCGCGCTCGGTGAGACCTAATAGCGGCCTCCGGGGACACCGCCCGCCCTCCCCCGACAGACAGCTCCCGGAAAACAGCCGACATGAGACCAATGCCGACACAACACCGCCGGCAAAGTGGCTTCGTTGAAGCAACAGGAGCAGGCTCACGGCCATGAACCGTCGGGCAGTCTTTGGAGCCTCCCGTCCCACTGACCTGACACGGGACCGTCAGTCACGGAGACCGTGTCACGAAACGTTTCCCCGAGCGCCGCGGCGGCCGCCGGCGACCCGCCTTGGTATTTACCGGCCAACTACATTAGATGACGCAGCCACGCCACGACACAAGACAGAACGTCGATGCCGGCAGCAGGTCGATCCGGCTCGGCCGGCCGACTCCCCGCGGTGACGGAGCGCGCGACAACAGCGCGGTGGTGTGACACCGGCTGCGTGACAGCGCGCGCGGCGTGACGCTCGATGAGATATAACGGCCGTGACGGGAAATGTGACTGTTCGAAACGGCTGCGGCAGCGGTCACGGCAGCTCACGCCGGGACACGACAGGGGGTGGCGTGTTCGCGGCGACGACAACGCCAATGTCATTTACAGCTTCAATCTTCCACGCAATCTCAGAAACGGTACGATGTTGTGACGAGTCATCAGCTATCAAGTTCAAAAGGGAGAATTCCATCCCAGTTTCTTCACTAGGGGCTAATTCACATCAAGTAATGCTTCATCTCTCTGCGACAACAGCTGCTGATTTTGCGAATCTACAATTCATGCAAAATTTGCGAGTATGACTACCTACGCAGAAGAAAAGGTCCAACTGGCATTACGGAATCGGCCTCCAGTGGAAAAACGGTATGAACTGATACGGATCAATTCAGGCAGGATCAGTTACATCATACATTACTGGATCCTTTTGGTATTAGCAACGGACAATGAGTTATTTCTGCGAGAAAAAAAAACACCATACAAGGCCGGATTCTTGAGGAATTGGGTCAATAAGTCATTTCTGCGCTAATTGACGCAATGTTGGACTTACACAATATTTTTGAGCGAATCCAGCCTTTGAGCGACAGCAAGCGAATCAAGACAGGAATGCGCGTTGCGAGAAAGCTTAGCAGGAGCAAACTGGCACTAGTGTCAGATCCGTGTTACATTCGTATCAGATCGGTGACAAGTCGATTCCGGGTCGGTGGCCGCTCAATCTTAGACTGGTGTTTGGTCGATGTTCCGTCGACTTAGAATCGATGTCCTATCGACTCAGGGATGACATCGGGTCAGTGAGTCACTATTTTTGCCTCATGTTGTGTCAGATCCGTGTCAAGTGTGTGTGTGTGTCAAGTGTCCGTGTCAGAACGGTGTGGTGGTGTTATGGAATATGTCAGAGCGAGGACAAGCCAGTGTCAGGACAGCGCGATGTCAGAACCGTGTCTCGTCGGTGTCGGTGTGGTGTCAGGCTCGGTGCCGTGTCCGTGTGCCTCAGTATCGGTGTCAGAACTATTCCGTGTCACAGACTGTGTCACGAACTCCCTCAGACACTCCGGCCGCCGGCGACGTCACCGTCCGGACGGCCCGGTGACCGATAGCGCGCGAAAGGAGCCGGAGCGGCCGTCTGCGCCCCCGGATCGATCACACCGTGTCAGACGGTCACAGCAGGTCGGCGGCTGGGTCATAGTAGAGGCAAGGCCGGTCACCGGGCAGAGGGGTGACCAGCGGACGGGCCCGGTGACTGGAGAATGAACAAATCCCGGGACTGGACCATCAGGGGCAAGTAGACTGAATAGTTACTTCAGAGTGGAGAGGAGAGAGTCGCCCAGCTTACTTCAGACAGTTCAATAATAAATTGCGTGTGAAAATAGCGACGACACGATCAACGACATTGACCTTAGTCAATGAATAAAGCTACACTGGAAGGGAAACCCCTTCCCTATGACGGAACACTTCCCCTACCACGACGGAGCAGCCCTCCCCCCCACCCCCCCCCCCCCACCGTGACGGAGCGACTCCCAGCATCCTGTGACTACCCACCGCCTCCGTATACGCCGTAACGTTTGATGACAGCGCCTCGGGGCCGGCGACGGGCCGTCCGCTCTCATCCGCCGCATTTCCATGCAAACGACAGCGACGGGAGAACAATTAGAGGACGACTGGCCGCCTTTTAAACTCGATGACTGCAATGAATCCGTCCCGGCGGCCCGCGATGGCCCCGCGCCGACACATCAGACCGGGCCCGCCGGCGGCGACTGAGACGGAAACAGACAGACGCGGCGCCCCCCCCCCCCCCCCCAACAGCGCAAATAACTCCCCGCCACCGCACCGGGTGAGAGGCTTATGAGCCCGCCGAGATTTAATTATTTTATCATCTACTTGTTGATGAAAACAAAGGAAGATCGTTTCCGTGCCGCCGTATTGTGGTGAGAGGCATCCGTATGGAACTGAGTTAACTTTGCAGGAACATAATCAACCAGAAAGTTCTACCGTGAAACTGGAGGTCTAACCAATCTATCAACTGACTCAACCCCTGGAGAGAAGGCACATCCGGAGATTCCCGTAAAGCTCCACACTCTCTGATACCCCAGAAGATTGAGACCGAACCATAGCAAACCAGGTTGTGAAAATGACAGGAGCCGCGACAAAATGAATGGAGCATGGCACATTAGATATCAGTCTGGGCGGCGGCGCACGGCCTGGGCCCGAACTCAAGCGGACAGTACTGCGGAGTCTCGGTACTCACGCGGGTGTTTCCTGCGGATGTGATGCTGCACAGCCTCCAGGTTGGAGAAGAGCTGCTCGCAGCGGCCGCACGCCACCGCCGCGGCGCGCACGTGCGTCGTGCTGAAGTGTTTCCGCAGCGACTCGAGCGACGTGGACTGTCCGCGGGGGGGGGGGGGCAACGGTCAGTGACGGGTACAGTGAACCGGTCGGTAAGTGACGGGCAGGCAGTGGACCAGGCGGTCAGTTACGGGTAGGCAGTGATCTGGAAAGATATAGAATCGACGTGTCAGACGGTGACAGGTACACACGGGTGATGTCCAAAAGAAAAGACGGGTGGCATGCGAGTAGGGAGACGTGTGTCATTATGGGAATTACCTACCAGTAAAACGCCTTTTGGGCGAAGAACGAGCGAGCGAGATAGTGAGCCCTGCACGTGCGGAAGGGCGAGAGGGTGCTTCCAACGGGCTTGCGCAAAGCACCCTTCTAACCGGTCGCTAGCGGTGTGCCAATTTTGAACGCAATCGGCCCAGCCGTTCCTGAGATCTGGAAGCGGCATTCTGCACGTGCGCACGTGCAAACGGGGTCCAAAATGACTTTTGCACGGCACCCTACTAACTGGTCCCCAACCGTGTACCAAATTTGAGCGCAATCGGCCCAGCCGTTCTCGAGATCTGGAAACGCCCCCTGCACGTGCGCACGTGCAGTAGCACCCTTACCGCAACACATGGGAATGCATTGCCTGGTGGGTGCCTACCTGTATACCAAGTTTCAGCGAAATCGCCCCAGTAATTACCGAGTTACTGAAATGGGAACAAATTTGGCACCTCTTATTGTTGTATTTTGCACGTGCACTGGGGGTGACCCACATGCATCGAGAGTATCCTATTTTGGGTAGAAGGGATGCTGCTACCCTACAAAAATTACCGCAAGTCAATCGCCCAAGCAGCTGCTGAGATATGAGCCTCTCAAAATCACTACTTTTGCAAAACAGCTTGAACACCCTTGACTTTTCACGTGGCACGTGCCACGACGGTCACTGAGATGTATCAAAAGTAGTCAATTACGGGGTAGAAGGGATGGGGCTACCCAACAAAAAAGACCGCAGGCCAATCGGTCCAGCGATTGCTGAGATATAAGCCTCTCAAAAGCGTTACAGGCCGGGCCGGGCCGGGCCGCTCATACTGAGATTTTTCCGTTATATTGAAAAGACTCACTTCGCTCGCTGCGCTCGCTCGCTCGTAATAATTTAAGCACAGAAGCGGAAACGTTATCGTTAACTTTCACTAAACGAGTCATAAAGGCGAGAGAAGTTAGGGAAACTGAGAACGGACAGTTTGATGGACATCATACTCGTCAATGACTCAGCAATAAGTACACTCAGCATCATACTCAGCAATGGACATGCTAATAGCCGTGAGCACTAATCAGCCCAAGCCGGAACCCCGTATAGAGCAAAAACAGCTTGATAAGATCGGCACACCGCAGGCTGTTTCCAAGTAGCGCGGTTAGGTGTCAAATCGACTCCCTTCCATCCTCTACGTTTTTATTGTGAGGTATGACGATCCGTGGGCTTCAGGTAATGGCCGAGAACCGGTCGGAAATAACCCAACAGATAGTTTCGGCTCTTCGACACGAACCCAACCACGCCATTTATCAGCGGAACGGCAGTAGCGTGACACGACAAAATGCGTTTCCCGCTCGAGGCTCGCTGTCAAAAGACGCTCAGTGGCACAATGAATCACTAACGCACAAGGACGCATTTCCATTATAATGTCCTCATCATGGGTTATAATACCGCCTCCATCGCGCCCGGGACGCAGCCGGGCCCACTTCAGACAGTGCCAATTTGTCCGCTTTTGAATAAAGCGTTCGGCAGAGCGCGCTTCAATGGACGCCGGCCCGACAGCGATACATACTTCTGAATACGCCCAAACAGGCAGCGAAAAAACAACCGGCGAGGCCCAATTCAAAGCAGACACGGCGCTGAGCGCCGGCGGCTCGGCCACGGGCGGCCGGGGGCGGAGGTAGCTCTGCCCTGCACCCACAAAGCCGCCATTGAGCGGCGGGTAAGGGCCCACCGACACGGCACTGTCCGGCCGCCACGAATAAAGATGAGTTCGAGCGGCGCACGTGAGCCGGCGCCGTCGTGACCGGCTCGTACCACGTGGTCCGTCGCTGTCGATGACAAACGACGACCACGGACGACGCTGCGCCGCGCCGAAACGGACGCCGGCCACGCGAGCGCCGGCGGCCGGACCCTGCCCATTACCGCGGACCGGTGACGAGCGGACCGAGCGGCGGACAGGTCAGGTCAGCTCTGACCAGTCGATCGCGGACACGTCAGGTGCGCCGACCAGTCGGTCGCGGACAGGTCAGGTCAGCTCTGACCAGTCGATCGCGGACAGGTCAGCTCTAACCAGTCGATCGCGGACACGACAGGTGCGCCGACCAGTCGATCGTCGCGACCCGGACAGATGTCGACCGAGCCTACTGAGTTCTCCGAATGGGCGAGCTTCAAAGGCAGAATTAACGAAGATGCACGCTACCGTGGCAAGACAGACGTGGGGTATGGAAAACACGCGAAAACGTCTCCTTGTTACTTGGGACGTTCGCACCGTTACGTAAGTGTTCAATCGATGGATGCGGTGGGACTTGCGTAATGCGCAGGTAGTTCACATTGATTTCCGCCATCACCCGGACTTAACAATTTGGTTGGATATACTCGACGTCCATTTGTGATGGTATAAATCCTCCGCGCCATATTACAATTGTGGGTGAGATGCCCTTAAGCCCCAATCATAGTCATCATTGGACATAAATCAATAGCTTTCAGTAACATGTGAGCATTTCACCACAATATAGTCGATTAAGAGGTGCTTAACATTTGACTGACCCGAAAATGTGCGAGCCAATAATCACAAGCATTCGATGTAAAATTCAATGACGGATAACAGATACAGGCAACGCTGCAGTGCGATGTAAAACGTATCGTCAAACGACTGAAAATTCTCATCAAATAGAAAATCACACCATGCCTGTCACGCAAGATACTTATCTCCAAAGACCTTTTCGCATCCTCGCATCACTTCATCAAACTGTAAATGAGCCTCAACGTCCTGTCAGACGCATTTTGCATATTCCTTTTATCGGCGTCAAATCCACTCAACCAATACGGCTCGGAAAAATCTTCGAAAGCTCTCTCACACCAGAGCAGCCAGCAGCCGGGGATGGAGGAGGGGGGGGGGGCTGACACGTCGGAAGGACGCGTCGCCCGGCGCCTGGGAGACGCAGTTTATCCGCCGCCACCGTCGTGCGTCGGCAGAGACAAACGGCCGACGAGATGTCGATGACGATCCTGGCGCGTCACGTTCGCCGCACGCGCCGCCGATATTGCGCCCCGAGCGTCTCCGACAAATGTTCGGTGGGCGCGGGACACGACGGCCCACCCATGCGGGTCGGTCCGAGTGTGACCCGTCGGGACAGCGGTGGTGCGGGGCGAGTGTTCGATTAAATTTTTTAATGAGATAACTATTATATTTTATACAAACTATATTTTTATAGTGTAAATAGAGGATAACAGCTTCGCACGTCCTACTTGGTATTGTAGATAAACATCGCATCTAATTCAATTAAAAAATCACGTCACTATTTCGTTTTATAGCAATATGCCACAAAAGAATGTAGCCCATGGTTTTTTTTGTGACAAAATTGGTCGATACAACGCTGGATCACTTCAGGCGAGGCGCGTCAAACACAATCACCGAGCCGCCAAGGTACCATCCAGCCACACTACACACTACACACAGTACACACGCTACTCGCTTCAGTCTCGGTTTAAGCGATGAAAGCGCAAAGGTCAAGAGTCGTCCATTCCAACCTGGGAATTTATGCAGAAATCTAAAGTTAACGTTTGCAGCCTTGGCACGATTCACTGAATTATAAGTTGACCCAATCTATCCTTGTTACGTTTGACAGTTTTGAAAGTATGATACCTGAATTTTCATCAGCCCACATATGATAAAATCCAGAAAATTCCGATGGACATTTCAGAGGGACTCCAAATTAGAATAATTCATTAGAAATTTCACAGAATTAAAGCCAAGTGTTCTCAGAGGCTCGTTGATTTTCAAATGTCAGCGGACGTGAAATATGCCGTTAATACCAGCATAAAACCCCGCAGCCGTCCAGCCAAATCAGCGGGTCGAGGTCGAGGTCGTCAGACGACGTCTATCCATCCGGATAATCCAGCTCTCAGTCCAATAGCTGGGCAAACACCACCACCCCACTCCCGCGGTTCAGCGCGGCCGGGCAGTCGTTTTCGGCGGCCGGTGAGCAGCGTTTAACCCACGGCCCCGAACTGGGACGAGCCGCCAACTAACACCATCAATCACCAGCCGTCACGAAGGGCTGAGACCTGACAGCCGGCGCAGGTGCCGTGGGCGGTGCCTAAACCACGTGTCTGCTTAATGAGCTGAGTTCATCGGGTGCTGAACTCGGCCGTAATACTTTCACAGCCACCAGAGACCGGTGCGTACCCCAGCCTGACCGTGAACGGTAAAATCGCACCGAGACACCAGCCTCCGGACGGCACAACTCGACACCACCGGCGCTTTCTCCGCGAAATTGCGGTGAAAAGTCACTGAGCTGTCATGGAGGAATGCGTCCGCCCACTGAACGCAATATTGTCCGGCACCAAAGGCTAACCGGCGTGAAACCGATCGGCTCTGCCTGATGGGAGGTGTCGGCAGCACGCGTCCGGCACTGACAGACATTCGTACATATGCTGCTGTGTCGGAGAGGCGGCAACATTGGCTGGCCTTCACGCTCCATGAAATCGGCCTGTATTCGGCGCAGACGGAATGGCCGACAATCCAGTCTGGCGGAGGATTGGTGGCGTCGCACTCGCATGCCTGCGGTACTGAACAGTGAACTTTAGAGATCACACGACCTGGAGCATTGACGCGCTATTAACCCCCGGTGGAATGCGTACTATGTTTAACAGAGCACAGTTTTATTAAAGGTCTCCCCAGCCACGCCAAGTTCGACGGCTACGCATCAGCGCCGCGTTACATAACGCTGACACGAAATGCCACTGGGACTGTCGATTCTGTGCGGCCGGTGTCCGCTGACAGTCGCCCCTGGGCCGGACGGGAGC